TGACCAGCAAGAGACTGAAAAGCATCAGCAGCAGGAGCTTGTCATTGGGGACAACTCAGAAATGCAGATTTGCTTGCCAATGAAGGAAAAGTCGCATACTGCAGTTGCAAAACAAGGGCATGCTTTTGCAGGAGCTATGGCTGGTGTATTCGTCAGCTTGTGTCTCCACCCAGTGGACACGATCAAGACTGTTGTTCAGTCAGGTCGTGCTGATCAGAAATCTCTTCATGATATAAGTCGATCAATTATCTCTCAAAGAGGTTTGTAGCTTTCTTAAGAATTTATAGTAACAACTTAGTAGAACAGACTATTCTCGTTTTCAAGTTGAAATTAGTACCTTTAACTAACCTAAAAAATACTTTGAAATATCTTCAGGTGTAACAGGGCTTTATCGTGGAATTTCAACTAATATTGCGTCTTCAGCACCAATTTCTGCGGTCTACACTTTCACCTATGAATGGGTAAAGGGGAATTTGCTTCCCTTTTTTCCCAAGGTAAGAAGCAGATTCCTTTCTCTGGTTTATTTCTTTCAGTAGTTGCTCTCTCTGGGTTGCACTACAAAAAATTGGTTGTAGAGATGGATTGGGTTTGGGTAAAAGTGCAATCACTTTGATGGAGTTTGAATGTCAACAATTCTCTTTATGTAGGAGTATCAATCTTTGGCCCACTGCATAGCAGGAGGATGTGCCAGTGTTGCTACTTCATTTATTTTCACTCCAAGCGAGCGTATAAAGCAGCAGATGCAAGTTGGTTCACGCTATCAGAACTGCTGGTATACTTGTTAAGATCCTGTATAAGCTTGTCCTGTCATTAGTTGAACCTTGAATCTGACAGTCTATGCTCATTTTCCTGCTTATTCATTATCTCCGGGCAACATGATGGCATGAATTTGAAAGCATGAAATCCTGCCTTCTACCATTTTGTAATTCCCCTGTTAAAGTGCGGAGTAGAGATGCTAAAATTTTCTGCTCACTTTGGTGCATTGTCTTGGATCAAGTTCTTAACACAGCTACTCTTCATTCTCAGGTCATAACTGTGTGTTTATGCTGTTTAGGTTACATTCCTGAATATGCTTTTGCTTGTCTGTTCTGTCCTTCAACAGGAATGCATTGGTCGGCATCATTGAAAAAGGTGGTTTGCCTTCATTGTATGCTGGCTGGGCAGCTGTACTCTGCAGGAACATTCCGCACTCTATCATCAAGGTAAAATTAGGGGATAAAATTCCTGGAACAGTTTTTGTTAGTAGTTCTCTTCCCCCTTATTTGACCTCATTTCTTTTAAGATATTGTTTTGTAATTTCTCCTCATAGAAGCTAGGTTTAAGAATTTTAGTTACTTAAGTCGCTTTTTCATGATTTTTGCAGTTCTACACATACGAGAGTCTGAAGCAATTATTTTCCCAAGTTCAGTTGAATGGTCAAACCAACACGCTTGTGACGGTCTGTTTTCTGGCCTGCTAAGAGTTTCGATAATTAGGGTTTCTTTTTCTCATCATAAATTTCTTGACAATTTGCTGTGAAGTTTTAAAAAGTTGCCACTTGCTACTGTTACTCTCTCCCCTGAGAAATAGCATTATTGTTGTCAAGAGAAGCCCATTTTGCGCCTTTCATGTTAAGATTGACACCTTTTTCCTTTTCATTTCTTTTCCTATTGTTGCAGTTAGTCTCTGGAGGTTTGGCTGGATCTACTGCTGCATTATTTACGACTCCTTTTGATGTTGTCAAGACAAGATTACAAACACAGGTTAGCACTTTGTTGTCATCATTGGTTAAGCTGATGATGCGTTAGCTGTTGCTTTTGAAAACCATTTCTTGGCAATGTCACTGCAAAGGTTCAAAGTATCTGATGTGTGTTTTGCAGACTCCTGGATCCAGGAACCAGTGTCCTGGTGTCTTCGATACACTTAGAGAAATTGCTAAGAAGGAAGGATTAAAGGGTCTCTACGGGTAAGGGTTGAAGAAATGGATTGAGGCGTTCTTCATGCGCCAAACTTTTTTCTCCCTTTCCGGGAGCCCGTAGTTTGTTCTCTAATTGACTCCCTGGTTTTGCTTGGATTGGTAGTAATGTATCATGTATCATATTTCAGGGGATTGACGCCAAGATTGTTCATGTATATGACCCAAGGAGCACTCTTCTTTGCATCGTACGAGTCTTTTAAGATGGTATTTTCTCTGGATAGCTCCCAAGTGAATGTTCAAGCCTGTCGACATGAACAAGTCAAGGAGGATGATCCACCATCTTTTCTTCACCAGGATCAAGACAGCATCATATGCCTGCTGGTCAACTAAATTTTTGGAGTTTGCTCAATCGAACAGGGAGCTTCTACCATGTTGAGGCACTAACTTAGGTGAATGTGGAACATGAACAACTGACCATCGACCATTTATTTCATTAATTAAACTCGATTAGGATGATATTCTCCTGTCTTTGAGTTGAGAAAAAGAGCAACACAGAGGCAGTACTTTGTGGCATTTGTGCCAAACTAAAGTTTCTTGTAGTAATTATTTTGCCTATTGGCAACTAACTGCTGTCAGGTGTAATGACATTTTTGGTTTGAAGATTATTTGGCATTTTTAAAAAAAAAAAAAAATTTAAACATTATAGTAGTTTTTGTAGCGTGACGCATGTAATATAAAAAAATTGTTAGAAAAATAAATCAGAAGTTGAAAAGCGTAATTATGATACAATAAATAAAATTTCGAAACCCGAAATCACTCTTCATTTCATTAGACAAGGGCATGTCTGAAGGATTTAGGAGTAATTGACTTTGACAACTATTATCGGTGAAAATAGAGAGAAACATGAGCTCCAACTGCTTCAGCTTGGTATTCGTTGGCAATGTTGTTGGTTGTGCTGTATTTGTTAGAACTAGTAGTATGTCAAAACTGCAGCCGAAGTGCAACAAAGTCGTTGTAGTATAGTGGTGAGTATTCCCGCCTGTCACGCGGGTGACCCGGGTTCGATCCCCGGCAACGGCGTTTTCCAATCCTTTTTTTTTTCGCATGGGAAACGAACCGAGGAAAAGAACAAGGCAAGTTTACTACAGGGAACCTTTTTTTTAGCATATCCCAGTTGATTGCTGATTCCTTCTTGGTTTGAATCTAGGATTCGGATTTCACAGAAATAGATAATAGAAACCCATAACCTTTATACGATATCATCGCCTCTTAGGTTTATGCCTCCCTAAGATAAGACGATTTTCTTACGTTTTTGTTTGTCTTGGACCATAATCGTAACCTGATCAAGAATGGGAGATTGGTCGAAACTTCAACACGACTTGCTGGAACTCATAGCCCAGCAGCACCTCACCAAACTTGAAGATTACGTTGCTTTTGGTGCAGTTTGCACTTCATGGCGAGCTGCCGCGGCCAAAAGGAAGAATTTCAAGGGGCTGAAACTGTGGCAGCAAATTCCCTGTCTCATGCTTGCAGAATCGGAAGACGAGAACGACAACCACCGCGAGTTCTACAGTTTGATCGAGAAAGAAATCGTGGCCAAGATCAGCTTACCAAAACTCAAGGGTAAAAAGTGTTACGAATCGCTAGGATGGTTGTTAGCTGTAGGACAAGAAGGGGATATGACCCTTCTGAATCCCTTTTCAGACGTCGAAATTCCTTTGCCTCCTGGTACCACCTTCCCAGATGATGACTGGCTGAATACTGACCCTGAAATATTCGTGGAAATTTTTGTGTTGTCCACGAGGCCTAGTGAAACCTCAGACTTCGTGGTAATGCTGGTATGTGGATCCGTTGGATACTTGGCATTCTGGCGGCAAGGTGACCAAAATTGGACCAAGATTGAGACCCATAACGCTGCATATTCTGCTGTCAACTATCACAATGGCCAGTTCTATGCAATTGATTGTACTGGCAATCTTGTGGCTTGTGATGTATCGGGGCCTAATCCCACCAAGGCTCGGATGATAACTCAATTGGTTCGTTACTCGGAAGAGTCCTACAGAGACCAGCATTTAAGAGATTACCACTCAAACCTTATAGTGGACTTCAAGCACTTGTACCTAGTTCTTGAGTCTTCATCTTCAGACAAGGAATCCCTGCTGGTAGTAACACGAGATAATTACTCGCATTATGCTGATGATGACGACCAGCCAAACTATGGTACAACTGAATTTAAGTTGTACGAGGTAGATTTATCAGGAGGGACGTGGAAGGAGATACATAGTTTGGGAAATAAAGCCGTTTTTGTTGGTCACAGCGCTTCTACTTCCCTGCAGGTCTCATCCAACAAGTTTTCACTCCCTGGAATCCAACCCAATCATATCTATTTTACTGATGATTGCTGGGACGCATATAAGAGTATTCAAGAAGTCACCGGTGGCAAGGATATGGGTGTCTACAACTTGGAAACTGGAACCATTCAGCCCTTCTACCAGGGCCCTCGTAGGCTTAGCAATATTTCCCCATCCATTTGGATCACCCCAAAATTTTAATTTCTTTTCTTTTCCCTTATCGCATTGATTTACGAGAGTCTGGACTATTTTTATTGTTGTTCATGAACTTGTGCATTCCTTTTCAATGAGGACGTGATTGCTAGCTTGTTTTGTCTCTGATGAATTGTATGTTGGTAGGTTTTAATTACTGATCAATTAGCTGTTGATGTTGCCAACAATACGCCGATATACATTTCACCATTAGGTGCTGTTAAATCAACTAGTATTATTCTTTTATATTCTCGAAATCATCTTCTCAAAACGTTTGTTCCCTTCACTAGATTTTGGCACTTAATAATAACAGTGTGTATGCATGGTTTAGACTTCTAGTTGGGAAACGCTGCGCATTAGAGGTACAAGGTACACTTTTGCAGCATATTCCTATGTAGTGAAGGTCACAGAACATCTTCTGATGATTAAAACAAGAAATTAGAGACAACTAGAAGCATGCAGATTCAAAATCACTGTCTGCAAAACTGCAGAAATATGTTGGTGTACTGGATCCAAAAAGATAAAGATGCCACAAATTGTCATTACTACATTGATCTTAAAAGAATCACCAAGCCGACGTGCCCGGCTATACTCTGCAAAATGTAGAATAGGCACACAGTCCTGGATGAGTAATAAAGAAAGAAGTATTGATGAGCAAGTCACTTTCCCTTATTGTATAGTTACAGAGTTCTGGAAGTACGAGTGCCACTTGCCTCTGTGATTAAAGAGTGAATCTTAATAAACAACTCCAGGATACTCTCCCTAAGACCTAAGATAATCATAAATTACAAAAATGAAGAGCTAGCTCTCAACAATTGAATGATGACTATTCCGTTGCTAATATCTAACATTATAAACAGTGTGGTCTTTACTCTATGAATCGATCCCTAAAGTGAGAAAAACAAATCAAGAATACAAGAGGAAGGTTGACCAGTTCCAATCCAGTAACCCACTTTTTTGACTGTTGCTCTGTCGAGGCACGAAAACAAAATCTGGGATTGTCTGCATCTTCATTTTAACATCATCAAGCATATGTTGATTTTGTTTTCAAGAATCCAATAATCCCAGTGCATCTAGCAGCTTCAAACTTATTTCCAGCTGCACAACATTTGTGTCTCACTGCTTCCAATTTTTTATTGCATACAATCAAGCCTATACTCGAGCAATTGGAGAAAAGGGTGGATTGACTATAAAAGATGGCAAGACTTCGGCCATCTTTTTGTTGCCCTTACATTTGTCTTCTTCTGTGACTGCATCAATGAGATTTTTGACTTCCTCCTCAATGAACACTCTCAAAGAATTGCTTTGCAATAATTGCTTGTTTTCTTCTTGTCTTGAACTAACAGAGGATTCCATGATATGCAACACAGCAACGCATATCGAAAATGCTTGTAATGTGGATAGCTGCGCATGGAAATCAACTGCATACTGTCCATCTTGCATCACTGCCATCGTCAGTGCTGGAGTAGTATCTTTCTTTCCCTGTAAAGTTAGGATAGAGTAACTCAATAACTGAGGGCAAACCTCAAACAAATTATACGCATTTGGTATTGTACCGTAACATAAGAACAAGCATCCAAAATTCTAGTGTGTCTAGTTAACAACCATTATGAGCATCCTTTAAGTGTTCTTCCAACAAAGTCAATGTGAAGTTCAGAAATAAAAGAAATCAATTTGATTTACAAAATAATTAGCCTACGAAGAGTCACAAATAAAAATAGTTGAAGCCATTAACTTTGGCTTACATACAAAGATTACCTGGAAAAAAAGCTTCAGTGGCTGCCGATTATCCATAAGGAGATGACTGTCAGCCATCCGGATACGAAGATTGCTAAATATGTGCAGGGGGCATGCCATGTCCCAACCACCACAATCACAACCTCCACCTAATCTCCATCTATCCATCAAAGGTGAAGGGCCATGACTTTCAGAAGTTGGCAGACTATGATTACCGGAAGGGATTACGACATCCATCTTTACTGGACTCACAGAATCAGGAACAAGTTCCTTCTCATGTTCACCACCGGAGTGATCAAGAAAGTTCAACAGTGGTAGATCCATTTTCTTGTCACTGCTTTTAAATTTCAAACTCTCTCTCTTTTCATAAGGAACTTGCACAACAATAGCTCCTATTTGAAGGTGTGGATGCAATTCTGCAGCTGGCAGAGGGTAAGTCATTGATGACTCAACATGACCAGAATCACAACCATGCTTTGCCTGTCCTTTGATCTTAGTTTTGACAGAGCCTGCATCCAAATTATGACTACCTACAAAGGAATTTTCATCTGATGCCTTGGGTGCTTCAGCAACTTCAATGAAGCAACAATTGTCTTGCGAGGAAACACTCTTTCTTGGGTGTAGCATATCGTACAACACAAATTCTGTCATCATAGAGTTATCAAAAGCTCCAGCTTCCTTTAACTCAGCAGATAAATAACAGGACACCTGCATCTGTCCTACCATGGAAGATACTCTGTGGCTTTCTTTGGAACCACGTCCACTAGCATTACTTTTCCTTCTTTCATTAACTGAATGAAAAGTATAAATCCAATTTAAGGCATTACCCACTTTCCATGTCCTGGCAACAAAAAAGTCTTCAGGAAACTTTGTTGAGAACTCAAAAATTGGACACTCGTGTTTCTTATTCACCTTGAGAATGCCCTGAAGGTGAGCTACTGTGCTCTGGACAACTTGATTATTATTGTCCTTCATTGACCAAGACTGAAATTCCATGCGCTGTCCAGTGTTTGAAAAATCATGAAGCAGAGACTTGCGAGATGTCTTGCTTCGGCTGATACTAACAAGCCCAGTTGGGTTTCTACTAATTGTTTCACCTGAAGCACTAAGAGGACTCCTTTGCGACTTGGATTTCACAAATGGATCAAACACCTTTCTGACAGGACCAAACCTGGTCATTGGACTACTGGTTCTGGAGGAATCACTCTCTGATCGAGCAGGAGAATGTGGAAGTGCTAATTTGGCTGATAAAGATTTGTGTAAAGAAAAACCTGGATCTCTTTCATGTAGGCTGTTACCATCACTGACAGGAACAACTACTGGTTTAGATTTGAATTTAGGGCCGTGCACGGACTGCCTCTCTGCATTTTCAGCACATTGATCATCCCTACCATCTAATTCAAAAGAAAGTTCTGAAGAGCCATCTGGTGGGATACCTTTGATTGATACAGGATTGAGGCAGATATCTAAGAAATCATCAGACTGCAAATCTGCACCAGACTTGCAAATTGCTGCTGTACTGAAGTCTGAGTTCTGTGACATCACTGAGGATCTTTTCTGCTCCACTTGTGAGCTTTCCTCGTCTGAACCACACAAAGAATCAAGTATTCCAAATGAAAGTGCAGTTGCACTGCTCTGTGAGAATTCGATTTTTTTCCTGCCTTCTGTAGCAGCAGTTTTCCTCATCAACCTTACTTCTTTGGAGCTTTGATAGACGGAGCCCCTCTTTCGCACTTCATCATATCCCAGAGGAGTTGTCCTGGATGAAGTGTTCTTACAGGAAACACTACGATAGCGATGGAAGCTAATCTCACTGAAGTCTTCATTCACGGTCAATAAATCATTTCCATGTCTTGGATAACCTTTTGATTTCCTCTTTTCAACTTTTGAATGACACCGAGGAGATGGAAGAACAGTTGTTGGACTTCCATCCACTATGCAATATTTGTCAAATTCCAACTCCATGTCCCAATCTCATTGGCACATGTAAAACCTGACACAAATCAGAACTACAACAGATCAGTAACAACAGAAGCAGTATGATGACTTACAATTGATCAAAGATAATCACTAGAAAACTCAAGAAGTAAAAGTGAGATACTGACACTTATCCAACCAGTACTATTTCATAGAATTAAAATCTTGTTTAGGCGAAACCACAAATTGAAATGAACGGACATATAACGCAAAGAAATTCAATTTCCTATTTCTAACATACATATAACGCTATCATGTGCAAACAGAAAGGGCAATTTGGGCAGAATTCATATGCATGCCCACATTAATATCAGCCTATATCCAATCCGTTAATAGATTTAGCAACTTAGAGGACTCAGACATGAAGCACACGGCCAGATCTTAGCAAATAATACTAGACTAACAAAATAGAATGCTTATGTATTTTCAGGAGGAAAAGCTAAAGCTGACAACTGATTGAAAGAAGATACTACCCATGTTTCAATTGCAAATGGAGATGACAATAGAGAAGCTAATATACTTTAAGCCAAGAATACTAACAAATTTCCTACACATGAAGCAGCACTGCAAAGAACTTATACCCCAAATGCCAGGACCCTACTAATCAAGCAAAGCTAGTGGAGAAAAATTTTCCAAGAGATAAAGGAAAAAGAAAAAAATTTGATCTCGTACAAGTAATCCTGCAACAATAAGCAATCTATAATCCCCAATGTGGGTCAGAAAGATACTAATAAACAAACAGGAGTGATTAAAAATCCAATCTTTTTGTACACACTTGCATTGCAAGCCAATAAAGGAACAATGGCTAATTGCAATGGCCATACCCCACTAGATCTCAGAGAAGTGAAGCCAAAGAAAAAGGAAAAAAAAAAAACGAAATACCCAACAACTCTCAAGTAGAAGTAATCATTTCTTCTATCTCTTTAGCTGAACGTCTAATCCAAAAGTAGGAATAGCCCATTTATCATTTCTAATTTTTCGACCCAAACAAAAATAAAAATCTTTCAGGGAACATTAAAAATGTGACAAGAGATAGTACTAAAATTTCACAACCAGTCAAGAAAAACTAAATACAAACAAGACCCAAAAATACCAAAAAAGAGATAAAAACACACGCAGACAGGCACACAGAGACAACATATCCTCGTGCAGAAGTGTAATAACTAATAAGCGCAGAAAGAGAGTTTTTACCAGAGAGAAAAAGGGAAAGGCGGAGAGAAAAAGAAGAAGCGTTTCAAGGGACAGAACACTCACTCACACTCTCTCTCACATGAGGAAGAACAGAGGAGAAGAGAGACAGAGAGCTGCAAAAGCTTCAGACAGTGTCCACTAGAAAAAAGTTTTCTTCTTGCTTTGACTATCATTTTCACTCACTCATTCATACATTGCTGTGTCCAATGTGTGTGTTTTTTGCGCCTTGCTCTGTTTCTTTAACGTTACTTTTTAGGACGTTTAGGCGCCTTCAACATGGCAATCTAGCTCTCTGTTAAAAGACAATACCGCAATCTCTTTTTAAAGACAATACTGCCCCTTGATTAGACCAAAATAGCAGGCTAATATAGGGGTAAATCGGGGAATTCGAGAGGAACCAATTAAGAAATGATTATTTGGGAAATCACTGCAGATATGATTATCTTATTTTATTGGGAAATGCAGGCTTAGTTTCTCCCGGCTTTTCCCGCTCATTAATGCTATATTAATTAGTACTAGTCCATATTAAGACAAGATTTTGGCAATTAATGGTTATCTTTGAAAATTTTAGATTATAAAAATTTACCTTGAATTTAGGAGATCACAGATCCCTCCTTTAGTGCAATTACCTTATGATCCACGATACTTATTGAAGATATGGACAAGATTTTCATTTTTTTTTTTTTTTGGTTTTTTTGCTTTCTTGTCTCAAGATGCAAAAAAGAAGATGGTACAAAATCATTTAAAAGTAACTTGAGTGATGTGACTAGGAGTACATCCACCAACTAAGCTTTCGATACAGCCTTGCTCCTAAATTCTTGAAGTCTAAGCAATTAAAGCAGTGGTATTTCACTATCAATTGCAGAAGGGTCCAATACTCCGATATGTTTGGTAGATCACTCTTTAGAACTTGCAGTTCAATTTGGAAAAGGACATTGCCCTGAAAAAGATCTGTCATTGCTATGCAACACATAGTGGCAAAATTGCTACTTGTGGTAGAGCATTATTGGCATGTGCCTGTGTCGATTAATTAATGAAAACTGACGGAAAGTTTTTAGTTTGAATAAATCTTATATATACTGATAACAGTGCATGCACTATCACCGTTTGATTTATGATATGTGTATCAAAAATTTGACACAACCTTTAAATGTAGAACCTTTATTACAGCTAAACACAGTTAGGGGGCAGAACCCTTGAGTAAATGTCACCCCAACTGTTACCATATAAGTTATTCTGGCAAATCAGCTTTTTTATTTTATTAATCCTGGTTACTACTAAAAGATTGAACTGTAGCTTGAGCAATGAGAAAATAGTCCCGGTTAAATCTATTCTATAGTAGTTCATTAGACAGGATGAAAATCTTAAACTAAAAATATTTTCTTGTGTATTTCCTATTTCCTAACTCTTGAAAGATGCATTTAATATAAATAATAAAAAGGGAATCCTTGATTGAATAACAGGACAAACCGTAGAAGGTAAGTCGAATATATCATGGGAGAAGAATTATTTACAAGCTGGAGATTGGATCTGCATCTTCTCTTCTTTGTTTTCATTTTTAACTTTTGTGAATGCTTTGTTGGTTATAGAAACCAAATTATATATATATATATATATATATATATATATATATATATTTTAAAAAAAGGCCTACTTTGGTCCCCATGATGCAGCTAAAGTACAAGGCTTGTAGTTGTGCCGGTAGGAATGGGACTGGGAGAAGAAAATTGTACAGTAAAAGGGAAGGGGGCATGTGATTGGTTTAGGCGGGAGGAAGCAAAACTGAAGCAGTCGGTCAAATTTCGCATCAAACTATTATTTATAAGTAAGTAGGTATAGATTTAAAAATAGTTTTCGATGTTAGTCTCATACTACAAGAATTTTCTGGTCTAATTTCTAACCTCACCAGTACTGCCTCATCTCTACAACACTCTTTAGAATTCCCCAACTTGATAGAGAGCGGAAATCGATTTGTGGATGAACTCCTATTCTGGGGGATTTTTGGGGAAAGAAAAAAAATCCTATACTATTAGTCTATTAAAATAGGAATGCCTCCGGCTGCTCCTGAGTTGCATATTCCCGCTATCCTGTTAAGTTGCGATAATATTTGCAAACTTGGCAGAGGTAGGAATCAAATCCTCAACCACTGAAAAAAGAGTCATAGAGTTCAAACCGCTCGATCCACTATACACTCTTATCAATTTGTGGATTGATTACAATGTTTACATGTACTTGTAATATATTCTTTTTTTTAAAAAAAAAAAAAAAAAAAAAAAAAGCTTGCCAAGTTGGTTGGAAAAAAAAAAGGATTGAAATGCAAGAAAGGGGAATTTAAAACTTTTTAATCTTGACCGGAGTGTTATTTGTGAAATTGAAACCTATGATCTCAAGTTTAGGAAACTCTTAATAAATTGGCTTGAGAAGTTGTATAAACGGATTGAAATGCAAGACGGGCACATGCAGCTATTCAATCTTGATTAGAGTGTGTGATTTTATGGAATTGAAATCTATGATCTCAAGTTTGAGAAACTCTCCCCAGTGAAGACAGATATTCATGCACTGCCAATGCTCCCCCCCCCCCCCCAAAGCCGCAAAGCAGGCCACGGCGAATTGGGACCACGGGCAGCAGCGATTGCAGGTATAATCGATTTTGTACATTTTACATATCGCGTAATTTTATTTTCACAACGTATAACTTTAGAACAAATTTTTGTGAGTCTCACACACATTGTTAGAAACAAGATACAAAAAATGATCTGAACCGTACTTCTTTTTGAACGAAATCCTGGCCGTGAACAGCTCGCCCCTCATCCGGCGAATTGGGGTTTTCCGTTCCAATAATACTGCACAGAGTTGACCAGCAACTGGTCATGTCCAAATGACAATTGAGGACTGGGGGGGCTATACGACACCGTTTTGAGCTTTCCGAAATAATTTACTACAATATGGGTAGGATGAATACCGTTAGCACTCTGTTATAAAAGTCGACCATGTTCAATCAATGATTGCCTTTCCCACACTTTGGTTCAGTGGTACAACGGGTAATCATTTCATGCATGCAGCAGGGAGGCACGAGTAGAAATGGGCGAAATTTGGACGGGACTTAATTGGAACCGTAAAATACGAAGTATATGCAGGACTAAAATGGGTTAGATCTATTTTAATACCGTCCAAATATCTAATAAATTTTTTTTAACTCTTTTTTTTTGTCCAAATCAAATGTCTCAATATTACTTATTTTTAAATATCATTTAGTTAGTTTGTTTAAACTCTGTAAAACTTTCCACCATCAAAGTTATGCATTCTCCTGAAATGTTTGATGATTCAGTTTTGTATTTGCCCAAATTTCTACTTCATATGACTAAACGCTCGTCACGTTTCCTCCAACATACTAAGATCTTATACAGATTTGCACAATCCATGTCAGGATGAAATTAATCAGTTTTAATTCTTTACACTGTGGAAAAATCATGCAACAAAACCTATGCCAATTGATTTTTTTCTTTCTAAATTCATCTGTTTTGATCCACTAATTTTTCAAAAACTAACAGTACTATAAAACGTACTTTAAAAAGTAGTCTAATTTTTTTTTAATATTCAAAAAATATCCCAAAAAAATCTTAAAAACTCTACTACTCTTAAATATTCCAAAATATTTTCTAAAAATATCCCAAAAAATATACTCTAAAAACTCTGTTACAGTAAAATTTTTCAAAAACACCCCCCAAAAACAGCTAATCCAAACGGACCCAAAACTAAATTTCATGAGATTTGAAAGTAAATTTACTTTCTGAAGTTCAATTTGGACATAACAAACTTTGCTAGTCAAATGTCTCGAAAATATTGGTTGGTTTTTGTCTTTAAGAAAATCAATATTTTTAGACTCTGGGGGAAAGAAAGATCTATGAGAATCTCAAGTAAGTTCCGGTTAGATCCATATTTTAAATGGGTATTATTGGATATATTTTCAATTAGGCCTAGTCCCATATTTTACATACCTATACTGCCCAAATTAAATTTGAGTATGGGAGCGCATTAGGTCTCGGGACTTTGTGCCATGAGTTTAAAGCAGATGTTGGGAGGTACTTGAACAAAATAAACATATTGAAGTCGATTCTTGGAGCTTTAATGTGAGACAAAAGAATTGTTCAAGCAACAAGCAAGGTTAATATTCGTACCAAAAGTTATTGACACAAGAACTTGGCTAATCTACTGTTCGCCTAGAATTACGCATGGCCAGTGGTTGCCCAACGATTCAAAACATTCTTTGCGTTTTTGAGTTGGGGTCTAGCCCCGATTTTTCTGTTTCTCTCCATCAAGCTGTAAAACTCTCCGTCACTATTGGCTCCCTTAGCCGAATACTTGAGGCAGGGAATATGCTTTCATAGACGCAGCCCCTTGAAGTTAGTAGTAATTCTTATTTTTGGAGCAGCAGCGGCTCGCCATGAGGTGCTGCAAGCTGCACCAAAAGGCCACGTTATTTTATCTTCATTCTTGGTTAGGCATTGGGCGGTGAGTTCCAGCACGTCTTCTTGAAGCTCTGACCAATTCCTCGATCTCGGGGTCTTACTCCTTAGGGGTCGAGGCTGGGAAAGTTGTGCTGCAGGAGATTGGAAGAGTTCAAACTCCTAGTTTGCATTGCTTGCTTTCTCAAAAGATACAATGAGAGGCCATGAAGGGTTGAGATTCTCTGTAATTAGCAGAGTAATGGCACCATCATACAGTCGATAGAATAGGATGCCTTACAAATTTGGAAGGATAAAATCTACGGAGGCGGGAATCGTACAACCTTGAAGGAATGGCGGCTCCTTATAGGTTTTGGTTTCCAGGTACTAAAACACACCTAGGACTATTATACACGGTGCGCACGTGATGAAATGGGATTTATTTATCAAAATTATATGTCCTCTTACCCCATTTTGGAATTTTGAAGAGGTAGTAAACTTTAAACATTAAGCGCAAGTAGTAGCCGCAGAATCGGTGTTGGCTTTGTCGGGAATAAAAACACGCTGCCCACTTTGTACACCATAATAATAACCAAAGCTCTCACCTATGGATTTACTCACTAGACAAACATCCTCCTCCTATTCCTATATAAGCCTAAAGCTCCACTATGCAAAGGTTCCCGCGTGTTACATTTGCTATGTCTATATATAATACACCTAGGCATGATTACCCATCCAAACTAGTCTCTAACGCGGGCCAATCTCATAGACAAGAAAAATCCTAAAAATTCGCGTAGCACCATTAGTATCTAGTAGAGTATCATAATAATTTATATATACTTTTAGGCAGGCTTCCATGACTATTTCTGGCTGTCCAGCACGGGCACAAAAGCTTCACTCGTCTTCTTAAACCCATCATCGGCTGACTTGTCATGTCTACGAGGACTAACCAACTTCTTTTCCACATCTTCGAACTTGGCAGTCGCCAAAGGTACAGTTCCAACAGTCCTCGCAGAACTTGGCTCATCTATCGTCAACGTAGATACTTCATCACTTGAAGCATACCAGTTGTTGCCACAAGCATTGCACTCCAGCTGCAAATTTCACCAAGACCGGATGGGGGAAAATATGAAGTCAATGGAAACTCCACACCGCCCAGAAAAGGGAAAACCAAAAAAAAAAAAAAAGGAACTGGGGTACGATGTATAAGTTGACAGCAGGCTCATCCTCAAAACTGACTCCTTTCTACATAACCTAGGGATGAAGCGCAGTATCGAAAAACTTACTCTCATTGCTGCATGAACCTATACACTTTTCAATTTCTCAGTGTATGTTGTGGAAAATAAACGCCTCTACCTCTAAGCATCAAGATCAAGTAACACAAACATCAGCCAACCATACTCTTTAAGATCAGCCCCCCAAACAAAAAAAAAATTTTTCCCATTCACCAAAAGAGAGAAGAGGCAAAAAGAAAAAGGGAAAAAGATAAAACCAACAAAACAAAAAAAACCCCAGAAAAATTATGAGAAATTGGGATTGAAAAAAAAGAAGAAGAAATAGATATTAGCACATTGGTACAACTTAACAAGTGGACATCCAGGAGTGAGCAAGCTAAAGAGAGTGAAAGATAAAGTATATCTTGCATCTGGATTAAGTAAAAAATAACATGAACTATGGCAGATAATATGCTTGCATTCATACAAGGCAAGGTAATCGAGAAACAAGTTCAATGCGTATGAGTGCAAACCTGATAACGATCTCCATGGCCAGTCTGAATTATATCTATAAGAACCACTTTCTTCTCCATGCACCTTTTGCAGCGAGCATCTGTCATCTGTATCATAAGCCAAATCACAGCGTTAACAACACTTGTACATCCTTTAGCCTAAAAAAAGAGAAAGTAATATCCTCACCAGAAATATCGCAGAAACGTTTTTAAAAAGATAATAACAATTCTAACACGATGGAGCCATGAAAACCTACTACTGTATTGTCAGGTCAATCTCATGGATACAACTATAGCCAGAACTAATTCCCATATAGTCCATTTAAATCTCCATGGCTCCAGCCAAATAATAATAATAAACTCCATCGTTCCAAGGTAGACGGCTGAAATTTTTACAGGCATATAGACAAAATTCCAGATGATATTCCACGAAATAAGAGAAAATTGCTGGCTCTATGTGACTGAAAACAAGTTTTCAAAAAGTTATCTCTACACAATGCAAGTTTTTATTAGTTATCCTTCCAAAACTAAAGAGTTAATCTCCAGAAAATCCACAAATCGAGATGATTACCTGCCTGTGTTCTGACTCCTCAGGCTTCCTACTCGCTATCTCCTCTGCTGTCAAACCCTCCTGAAGCATAAAAGAAAAGGCTAACAAGGTAAAAATATTGCTGATAGCAATTATCTAGTATTACAAAATCAGGAGTAAAAAGCCATGTTAGGAAAACTAGACCAGCTGTACATAATGTCATGGATACAACTGGACCATGCACCATTTATGCATTGTATTATACGAATAAAAAATGATGCATATTCGTGTACAAGAATATAGAATGAATCTAAGTGTAATACGAAGATTGCCAACACAGGAATCACTGAAGAGAACAATTTATTCATCCAATAGAATGAACGATTAAAGGAGAATCATCCGGAAATTATAGATCATGAAAAAAGTAACAGCTATACCTTTAACTCATTAGGTGTCATGCTCAATATTTGTGAAGGCTCCAACTCTCCCTTCAGAAGTCGTCCTGCTAAAACTGCATTGTTCTGCAAATGGTTCAGAATTAAAGAAAAAGCCCCCAAGAGAATCAGAAGATGGGAAGAATGATAGCTCCAGGAATCAAAAGACCACAAAGTATGGTTTCCTTATCTTTTATTTAGAAAAGGAAAGACATCATCATCACAACACTGAAACATGAAACTTCAGGATATTAAGTTCACCCACAATCCAATTTTCATCCCATCTCACGAAAGCAGACCTTAAAGAATAAAATAAATCATCACACACATGACAGATACAGATAATGTTCACCTTAAGATTGAAAGCCAATTGCCGCATCTTTTGGTTATACTTCTGAAAGTCTGAGGATAAAGCTTCATGAGAAGCCTTTTCAAGAGCAGCTATAGCAGCAACAGCGCTGTCCGGCCAGTGAAAAGGCAAACCACTCTGAACATATAAATTAAATTAAACAATTATATAATAGAAAAGATCATCCAGTGCCAATTTGCAGATTCTTGTAGATAAACTATAGTAGTAGTGAAGAACCACCACGATATGAGGTGTCAAATTACTCTTAGAAAAGCTGATGAAAGAGAAGTTTGCCATTACATTAAGATTCTTGACCTCATTTCCATTTGCAGGAGCTGCTAGCCCCTTTCCATCACCCGGACCCCCATCAGCGGTAGTGCATATAAACTGAATCGATTGAAGCAGCCTTTCCAACCACTTGTCCCGCTGTGTTTCACCAGTCAGGGCCTTTAAGCTTGAAAGAATGGTGTAATATTCTGATGCATTACTAGCACAACTTCCTGGAGTCTCAGCTTTAAAAGACTGCCCAGATCTTGTAGATGCTTCATCCTCTCGGGAAACATCCAACTGAGTCATGCTCTTCTTCCTCAACAGTCTTTTGTTTCTCAACTGATGTTCCTGATCAGTAGCTGCCTCCTCTGGCTCGATGTCAGGAAGATCTCCCAAGCGTGACATTGTCTTCTGAACAAGGAGTTCAATCTCTTCCTGTTTGTTGTCTTCATAATCTTTATCTGTAAGCTTGAAAAGCCTTCTTTGTTCAGTGTCGTATACCCTTTGCACTATGAAACCTGGATGTTGCTTCCGTGGGGGAATCTGCTTGTTCAGAGGTATAAAATGCACCACACACTTGTGCATGACAGATTCTGCTGGGACCTCATCCCTGTGAAAACTATAAAACAGCTCTCGCGTATCAGTGGATTGCCAATTACCACCACTTTTCTTTTCTGCCTCTTCAGGACGATAAAACCATTGCCCAGTGACCATCAAGCTCCCATTTCTTGTCTGAGATATGTCCTGAAAACAGAAGCAAATTTGCCACAACTGGAAAAATACCAATTCTACACAACTGGAAACATTCTCTGCAAATTTGCCAACCTACTGATGCCGAAAAACCAGTATCAACGTACTCCAGTATAATACAATCATTTGCACAAAAACCAACTAACAACAACGCATTAGGCCTTTCACCTATAAAGCGTGTATGCCACTAAGGGACCAGGTAAATGCTCTAGACAACCAATATAGATAATCTTTAGGGAAAAAGAAAAAACTGAAAACAGCATTGAATATAGCAAAACCATTTCAACAATCAGCCTTTGACAACCATTATTGAAGCAATGTGGAGGACAGAAAACTCAGGAAGTCGTAAGGTACATTAAGGAGTCTATTCAACAATTCTATAGTTTCAAAGCCCAATAGCACAACAAAATGATCCACCACCAAAGAAGCCTATGAGACAGCTCATTAGCTAAACAAAAAAAGTCCACTGGAATATAACCCCCACTGGGAAATAGAAAGAATGGCAAGAGGACTAGCAAAACCATGAAAAATACTTGTTATATATGTCTCTTTCATTCTTCTTCATAATTTCTTCACATTACTGCACACTTGCAGTATAAAATAGAAATATCCTCAAAAATATAGAATGGGTATATAATCTTCAGTCTTCATGTTCAGCTTGTGCAACAGGGTTTATGACAATTCACACATACCTTGATAATGGCCACATAAGGCTTCTGATTTGCTTCCTCAGGCACTAAGAGCACAGGATCCTCCTATTGCAAAATCAAAGATACAAAACTAAAGCAAGTTAGACATGGAAATATATCTACAGAAACTATTTTACTAGTAATTGCTTCTAAAAGGGGCAGATATATTGACCATCATGTAATGAAACACAGAATTCCTGATCAAGATCTCAAACATTCTTCATATGACTGCTTTTTATAAAATTTTATTTTACTGTAATTGATTGCTTGCATCTCAACACAGGAATATGTTTGGATACAATACATAAATAGATCAGATGTGATACATGTTAATAATTTCTTGCAATATACATTTTTGTCCACTTCGCTTCTCTCTCTTCTTCTTCATTATCAGGAAGAGCATAGCAAAAAATCTTCATACATATTCGGATATTTTCCTAAAAGCAGTAAAATTCTAATGAATCTTTTAGACTTCAGCTTATTGACAAAGTATTCATCAAATAAGCTTTTTACATCAAAAACAGAGCCTCATCTGAAATTCTTCAGCCTTTTAAAGCTTTTTTGAAGAAAGTATTCATCAAATAAGCTTTTTAACGGTTGAAAGCATGCTTTTGGTTTAAAAGTTCCAAAGAAGCCAAAAAGTGTTTCTGCAACCACCTCAGGGGCTGTATTTCCAGTCCAGCTTCTTCAGCTTACATTAAGCGCATAGCAAAAGCCATGTGCATTTAAGATAAACTCAAAATAACTTTTAGCTCAGTAGGAGCCAGAAACCTGGTACATGCCCAAAGTCTACTAAAATAAGTAGGCTTGACTAACAGATGCTTTCAGCATTTTAAGATGTATAAACTTTCATATGGATAATATATCCAATTGTTTTGCCTCCCACACCAAATCAGTATAGAATTCACAACTTTATCAAGAAAAAGGAGTTCTAGGAAGGTAAATATTATTGTGGTCATCAATCATGTGTGGTAAAGTAAAAGCAACAACAGAAGCGTCAAACAAGTTCCACATGATTTCACAGCCACCAAATGGACACATGCAAACAGCAGTACATACAACAAGATGCTCATGTGATGCTCAAATGACCACTTAGAAAAAGGTTGCCATAATTGACATTCGTTGCACCATGCCAGCTAAGGATCATTTGCACTATAAAAGATTTACTTTCAATTAAAATGGTAGAAACAGAAAGCCTAGAATTTCATGCCCCATACATAGTCTTCCTTGTCTCCTCTCATGGTCAGCTTTTTCCTATCAAAAGATCCTCCTAATACTACATTTGCGGGTTCCCCTTCGTCCAATACACACAGGACTCTGAGTCCCTGATTCAAAGCTCCAAAGATACATATAACAGCTTGACCCGGAAAATTTTCATTGGGCGGATGAATTGGGCATAAAGGGCTTTAAATCCACCCTACATGAGTTTCAGCTATATAGCAACAGATTTCAAATAATTCCTCCTGAAGTTATTTGAAATCTAGAGTAAGAGAATTCTCACATCATTTGTAGGGAACCAAAAAAAAGGAACATAAGATAGACTCTTTCTCCCTCTCTAACCCTTCACATGTACCACGAACATACAGACATAACCGTAGCAGGAACCTTACTTTGTATTTTTCGTGCTTATTAGTTTCATTTAACATGGCTTGTATGAACTCTATTTCTTGTTCTGCACAAAAGAACCCTTTTTTAGCCTCAACTTCTAATTAATGGGTCGAAGCTTACAATTACAACTAATTTCTAAAAGTATTCAACAAAGTTGCATACAATTCAGCAATGATATTTGTTTGAAATGCTTACTTATGAGCATATGTATTACCCAAGAAATGAATCCAATTAACGAGAATTTCGAATTAATATTTACCAAATCATATCGCATTCCATCATATTCGAAGGCCTCATAGTGATTCCTCCTCCCTCTTCCTTTTCCCGAAGCCCTAATTACATCGCCAATAGGCTTGGCGTCCTCCTGAGGAGCCTCCTCCTCATCACCGCTAGGCTCAGCCGCAGTTGCTTCTTCTTCTTTGATCACTTTCTTTTGCTTCTTCCTATCTCTGACACTGTCTTCCTTCACTTGCTTTTCTTCATCTTCTGCTTCGTCGACGAGCTTCATTTTCTTCCGCTTCCTTTGGTTCGTTTTCTCGTCGTCACCGTTCGCTGAGCTCCGCCGCGGCGGCGGAGGTGGTGGCGGTGGCCCGTCGTCCTCGTCATCGCTCGGCGGCATCTGAGTGAACCTCCGATTACCCATTGCGATTACTGTGTGTGATTAATGTGTGTCCCAGTGTGAGAGAGAGTGTTCGCACCAGAGAGGGCAAATGTCATGAGCTAGTAAGCTAGCTAGGCGGTTTCTTCCGGGTCCGAAAATTTTAAGGCGCCAAGTGTTGGGTTGGGATTTTATAGAAGCCCTGGAACAAGATGGTTATCCGGTAATTGCCCTATATAATTTTCTTTTTCTTAAAAAAAAAAAAAAAAATTCTCCATAGTTGTAGTGGCAGGATTGGGGAATTCTTTAACAATCCATCATATCTAAAATTGACATTGATATCAATTGACTTTTTGAATCCAGCCTTAGTGAACTCAAACTCGCCTCATAAATTATATTTGTGACGTTACTTTCCTCTTCTTTTCACGCCTCCAGCAAGGGTTTTCGATCTCATCAGCGACATCTCATCAGGAAAATAACTTTCATTCCCGGCATCTCTCTCTTCGGCATCTCATCAGGTGAGCTACTCCGGCATCTCTCTCTCTCTCTCTCTCATTTTTTTCCTTTGAAAGCGGCCAATATCAACGGCTCAAGTCATGTGTGGATGCGTTTGTGTGGTCCATTTCTCTAGTCAGCGGAACTAGACTTAGCCATTGCGGCCGGTAACCATCTCCCTCTCTGTCTCTTCAGTCTGCTTTTTGTTTGTGAGCTGTGCCCGCCATTGTGGATGCGTTTGCTTATGCAGCCTCAGAAGCTTGTTTGACGGCCTAAGCACAATCTCATTCCCGTTCCTACAGTAGCATTTCCAACAAGGGTGAAGACTCCTTAAGTATTTCCAGAGGTATGATGGTCTCTTATTAGTTTTTTTTTCCTCCCTTTTCCTTTGAAAAATTGTCTAGAATTACTGGTGTAGATTCTTGAAGTTGGATTTGAATGAATTTTTGTGGGTTGCTTTTGTTTTAGTTTGTTCTTACCTGATTAGGGTTAAATCTGATTTGATTGATGCTAATGAATTAATTTGGCTGCTGAGTTTTGGGGGTTTTATGATTCTTGGAATCAGAATCCCGGTAGGGTAGGGTAGTGTTTTTCTTACAGTCTGGTGAGACCATTTGTAAATAGTTGACAAAATCTGATTAGGGAGGAAAACAGTTTGCTTGTGTTCATCCCAGAGAGCAAAGAATCTCCCAGCGTTGCAGTTAACAAGCTATCATGATATTCTTGTTTTTCGTGAATCATAACAGATCCTATAATGTCTGACTATATTCGTCCTACTTAAAATTCTATATTTGAAGAATGAGTTCAGTTCTATTGAAATGTGTCATCACAAGTAGAACCAGCTCAAGCCAATAGGGCTAAGCCTGTGCCCCAAGCTCCAACATAAGCACATAATTGATTTCGTTTGCTGTCTTTCCTGTAAACTGAAGTGGACCTGTATAGATGTTTAATCAGAAAGAAAAGCCACAGATCACTTCGGGACATAGTATTTGCATGTTCATGCAGATTTCGTGCAACATTTGTACAGACAGTTGCACTCTCCTATTTTAATGTCAGATTTCAGCAGCAAGATTGTTTTACCAATCCTGTCCACTTTTTAACGTGATTCATTGGAAGGGGTTTTCTGGGAAAAAGTAATGAAGTAGCTAACAGAAGTTTTAGGAGACTACACAATCATATTGTTTCTTTTCCTCTGTCTCGGGTGCTGAAACAGCTGAACTATGAACACAAGCAAACTTTCTTTTCCTATGTCCTTTATATACTCTTATACTTCTTGGGCCCGCCCACATTGAAGGAGAACATTAACTGCTATTGGTATAACCTGCATCACTCTGCATTTGAGACCCCTGCATCACTCTGGCTTTTTCTGGTACACTACTAATAGTCTACTGCTACGTGAATTAAATGTTTATTACCCAAACAAGTAATCTTATTGGCATCATGGTTTTGGGCGGCAGTTGGATTTCTGTTGTGAATTTCTGTTCAAGTAATCGTACTCCTTCTTACACATTCGCTAAGGTATTCCATTGGTAAGTACATCTTTAAATCCTAATTAACGATTATATGCATGCAATCAATTAATAATTATATTAAATTTTCATATATGGATCCAGGTAGTGATGATGATGAGGATGCTATTGTAATTGGTGCTGCCACTTCAGTCCTAGCAGCAGGATATGCAGCTCTTGAAGTCTATAAAACTCCAGTTGTTATACCTAAACCACCTCATGTTAATAGGGAGTAAGCTAGAGAGAATTACATGGATGGCATATTATATGGAAGTAGTTCCTATTGTATGGACCAAATTAGAATGGACCAAACTACATTTTTCCAATTACTAAATACTCTCACCATAAAATTCACTATAATTCTATGCTAACATGAAAAGTTTTTGTTGGAGTATAAAAATTTTATCTTGTGTTAGTTAAAGTTTGGGAGCGAGGAGGCTGAAGCCAATATGTTCATTGTTGCACGGTATAATTTCAGGAACCTCCTTGAGTTTTTTAAACAATTGCAGTCACCTCAGGGAGGCTGAAGCCAATATCTGATCGGACGCACGGATGAGTGTAATTTTTCAAACTTTAAAGGTGGTGGTTGTAATTATAAAAAACCTCAGGGGGGTTTATGAAATTATCCCGCACTATTTTGTGTCGAAATCTGTTCACAAAGAAAACAAGTAGTAGACTAGTAGTAGTTATTTGGACTGAATACCATGACCTGGGCTAAACTGTCTCGAACCCATCTTGACCCAGCCCAGACTGTAAGTCATAAGACTCATGCGGCCTCGACTTGAGTCTCTCCTTTTATTCCGTCCCTCAATCATTCCTCCCTCTTCTTCCCTGCTGCTGCCACTCTCTGGCACTGCTTTCTATTCTATTTCGTTGGTCCAAACAATCAAAACCCCACCAACTAGCTAAGTTGATTTGGGTAATTATCTGATTCTTTTTCTTTTTTGTTTCAGGTATTATCAGACTATTTACTAGTTTGAATCTTACTGTTACTGCTCTTGATATTGTGGCTGCGATTCCTCATCAAGTGTTTAAAACATATTTTGATACTTTTATTGAGTTTCCAAATTTGAGTAGCGATGGGTAAGAAGAATAATTCATCCACAGCAGCAGCAGCGGCAATATCTTCACAGCCACACTTGCAGCAGGCTCCTTCAGGAACAATGAGAGAAGAATCTAGCGGAAAGAAACAGAGCAGCGTAAATCCCAAGTCCATGTTGAAATTGGACCACCTTAAAAACCTCGCTATCTGGGCTACTGCCGAAGCTTCCGTATCTTCACTAGGTGCTTTTTTCGGCTACCGCTTGGCTGCCACTGCTGAAGCCTTGGGTGTTCCTCCTGACCCTTCATTGTTCTCCTGCCAGAGGTCCCCTAAATTCTTCCCTTTTTTCCTATTGTTTTGTGCTTTCTACTTGTGGTGTATTCTACATGTTCGATACAAGTCCTATTTGGTTGTATTAGAGTTGTTGTGTTCTATTTCAGTAGTAACGTTTTTGAGTTTGATTTAGTGCTTCCATGATTAGTTCCTAGGAATTTTAGAGGCTTAAAGGCTTTGGTTTGTGATGCGGTACAGTTAAATTACGTGTATGTCTATCAGATTATGACCTCTTCTCTGTAATGGAGTAAATTGTCTTGGACAATCAAGTTTTTACACACAACGTTCTTGTAGAATTTGCTCTAGTAGCTTATAGAAGGCCGTCTTACCGTATTTTGGGAAAATACTTCCGTGAAACCAATCTCCTCAAACATGCTTGATGTTTCGGATAAACATATTTTGTTTGTGCTTCTATCTAGGAGTAGCTAGTGAATTTCATGACTCGAAGATTAACTGGTATTTCTACTGCAACGAATTGTTTTGGAAGTAATATCATTCCTAAAACTGACATATAGGTCTGAGTACAACACTCATTGGCCCAAGTTATTATCTAGTTGCCCTCATCTAGAGCAAGAAAGTGAAGTAAGGAAGCATAGATGTAGAATGAAGTCCTAATATAACCCTTTATGCAGATGGCTGATGCAACGATGCTCACCCATATTTCTAGATGTTTTCACTGCCTGGATGGTTCCTTCTGGCTCTTTGCTACTAAAGATCGATTCTTGCAACACCATTTTTCTTGATTGTATAGAAGCAAAGGAGATACTGCAGTACAAGCTTAATGTTGTTACCACCATGGTGGTGGATTATAATACAAACATTCATCTGCGTGTCTAATGTTTTGATTACCATTGTAATTTTTCTACAGGTGTGAATCTATTCTTCAACCTGGCTATAATTGTACGGTTCGGATTGAGAAGATAAAACCAAATCCAAAGCGAAGGCGCAAGAAACGTAGTCTTTCGATTGAAAATAGTGTGGTTTACAGCTGCCACTTTTGTTCACATAGAAACTTGAAGAGAGGAACCCCGAAAGGCTACATGAAAGAGTTGTGTCCATCGAAGCCCAAAGTCTCTTCAAAATCAGATCCTACTAAATCAAGTCATCCAAAGTTTGCCAAAGCAAAGGTCATTACAGCAAGCAAAAATGATCCCATGTCCAAGGTGGATGGAATTGCTTCACAAGAAATAATTAACAAGGATCCTGTGAATGACAGTTCTACAACTCCCTCGGCTAAAGTTGGGACTTTGTTGGATACAAGAAAGAGGAAAAGGACTAGATCAGGATCCAAGAAAATTGTTGAATCAGAAAGCAGTTCTGTTCCTGTTGATGCAAAGAAAGCTTCCATACCATCAAGCAAGCGGAAGAGAAAATCTTGGACTAGTTTAAAGGAAATTGCTGAGCGTAGTGACCAGGATGGTAGCCGTAACTTCACTAACTTAGCAATCCCATTTCGTATATAAAAATGTAAATTGGTATGGAGATGAGAGTAGTAAAAGACATCCAATGTCTGGACCCGTATGGCTGTATGCATAGCTCAAGTCTTCAATGTGACCGATAGAAAGCATCTGAATTAAAAATTCATGGTTGGAAACATGCACTATTGTCCTTTTTGTCATTTCATTATAAATTCTCTTTATCTTTTTCTCATATTAAGATACATGCCATGAGCACAAAGCTTGACAAAAATGGATTTAGTTACTTCATCCTACTTGCAAAGGACCTAAGTGATATACTCTAATGATCTCTCCGATAACTAAGAAGATGTACCAGGCAAGTTACAAATTCGATGAAAGAAACACCCTTCCACCTTTCTCTCAATTCTAATTCTCCAATAGTGGACCTGAGAACAACCATTTTCACAAATAACAAAAACTTTTCATGTTAGCATAGAATTATAGTGAATTTTATGGTAAATTTAGGAGAAATTTGGAGAAATTAAGACTCTTTTTCGATTTTTCATATGGAACAATCTTTTCTTGGCTTAGATCTCTGAGGTGATATATGGTTGCAACTCGCAAATCTGGAGTGAATATTTAACATCTGCAGTATCCTTCCGACCCAAAATTATGTTGTGCATAATCAATCCTGTCATGCTTTTGCTACTCTCCTTTCCGTAAAGAATTAAGAATCAAGAATGAGAAGAACAATTTAAACTTGTGATTTCCAACTCACATATTGAAACAAACTGAAAATTGTACAGTAACTTAGACTGGCCAGTCACCTCTAAAACCCTCTTCGTCTCATTTACACTTCATAGATACTTGTGATAGCTATATATCAATCAAGCGAGGAATCAGTGTGGTGAACAGCTCTAGCAAAAACCAAAATGTCATCAGGGTCTTTTGCTGCTTCCTTCTCGTCATTATTATCGCCCTGAGCCTTTCCATCATCTTTGCTGATGACAGCTTCTTGAAGTACCTCCCTAGCCTTGGCTATTGGATCAACACCTCCCTTTTGTTCCCTTTGCTCCTTCTCCACCTGCTCTCTTCTCTCCTTAGTTGACTCCATTTTTGCCTCTCTTTCTCTCAATTTGCCTCTACCTGTAAAGCGTTAACGTGTCTAAAATCTTGTCATATATATGTGATTAGAGATGTACACGTGTTAGGATACTCAGATTTGCGACTGAGACTCATCCACATGCACAGCAAAACTCATGTTACACGTAGCTCTTCAGCGTGTTATCTTACTGGTTTTTATTTCTGATCTTGTTTCCAACTTTGCCATGGCTCGATGGCAAGCCCCCCAAGAGCTTGAAAATCAGAGTTGAATGCCTTAAAATCTGTTTAATTTTTAGTTCTACCCCGTAATAAATTCAAACTTGGTCTTTCCTCCACCAAAATTTTACTGTAGATGATATGGTCTCTCACAGTGTAAGTCTTGACCACCCAAATCTCAGGCCTTATGTACAATTTGGGAGTCAAATTTTGATTCTTTCATAAATCTTCTTAGCAGTTGAGATAGGATAATTAGTATCACTGGAGCTGGTTCAGTGATTCAGTGGTCAGAACAGAATTTTTAGAGTTTCCTTCGCTACTAAGTTTAGGGTTCAAATATATTGATTCTAGTAGTTGAGAGATAAAAAGAAAAGATCAGGATTATGCCAAGGACAAGCTACGCTGGAACGAGTTGTTTCTTTCCCCATCTTTTGTGCCTTCTTTTTTTTTTTCTTGAAGGAATCTTTTCTGCTATTTTCACTAAGAAAAGGTATCTGTTACAGCATTTGGATAGCGCTTACGCAGCCTTTTCATAAAAGGATCAAATAGGTGAGAAAATTAGTGCCTTTCGGGGACCAAAAATAGCGTCTTGCATCGGCCAAGCTGAAATTCTACATTCTTCCTTACCTGGCCGCAATATGAGGAAAATTCATCCAAGGGATGATTGATGGCTGAAAAAGATGGCAAGTCATTGAAGAATGAGGAATGAGATCAGTACCTTTTATTATTTTTTCTCTTGTATTAAATCCATAAGATGAGCTTGATATTTCTCTTGTATATCAAGCATGAACAGCCGTAACTTTGACACGTTCCTTCAAATTATGTGGCACCAAGCAGACCGTTAAATTTTTGTATTTTGGGTTTTTACTGTACAAAAACCATTTTTCTGGGATTCTCTGTCGTTTTGTCGCTAGAAATCTCTTATTCAAAACACCCTCTCAATGGGGAAAAAAATTTAAATATCTGTAACTTTAACAGTGACGTCAAGGTTGTAAAATTATGTTTGGCTGAAGCTTTAGAAGGATTTTATCCACAGATTGACTTCTTGTTGTGCTATAAAATGGAATACGGCAGATGCATTGAATATCTTTCTATTATGCTTGACAAACTCGTAATGGAAGTTGTAAAGATGAAAAAAGGTGTGATAGAGTATTATCGCGGCCATAGGGTATTATTCCAAATAATTACTGTGTCACTTTTTTGTGATGTGATGTATATGAGATAAAAAGGTAGTTGAAAATATAAAAAAAAAGATTGAAAATTATGTGTATAATGCAAGCGAAATATTATTTTAGAAAAAATTAATATCCAAGCATAGCAAATCTTACGCTACAAGAACCAGTTTTGAAATGCCTTTGTTTGAATTCTGAATTTTCGCAAAAAAGAAAAAAATCTCTGGACATATTTTCTAATAACTTTTTTTTACCTCATATACATTACAGTATTTTTTTTTAACAAAAGCTTTTTTTTTTTTTTTGAAGGAACAAAAACTTATTGTCCAAACAAGTTCTAAGCTCTTTCTAAGCGTGTATCTATTAATAATGTGTAAGCTCTCGAAACTGAACAAGGAAAGATATCCGGCTTATTTCAGTTCATCAATTATTCAATGCCTTCTACGCTACGCTTTTGCACTCGTATCAAACCTTTTCTTTAGATTCAATCAATGAATCTCATCTACTGGTAGGCGTGCAAACAAGCTTCGTTAAGTTAAAGTCGAACACTTCAGTATTCAATTTTGTTTGATTATTTTAACGAGTCTAAACTTTTATCTAAATTTGACTTAATTATTTGCCGAAACAAATTTTTTTATCGAATTTAAAAGTCATCAATTATAAAATATTATTTAAATTTAACGTGACTAATTGGCGAAGTCGAACCAATGCCAAACGAGATCTTGTTAAATTAGTATCGAGTAGTTTTTTTTCTATCTTTTAATTAATGTTATGCCCCCGGAAACAAACATGTATATGAAACGTGTCGGTAGACAAATGTGAAATGGAATGGTCTACACGATTCTGTGGTGGCTTTGTGGGCTCATCTAACCAATCATGGACCACAGCTTTTCCTCTGCATTTTTTTGATTTTGCTTTTGGCTGCTTTGGCTCTGCTTTAGCATAAAATTCAGGATTTCTTCGTGTTAATTTCGTGCGGTATTTTGAAGGTGTACGCATCTTTATTCTGACCCCTTTTTTGTTTTTAACCACCTGCGGATACTAATTTCCATTATTTTGGCATATTTATCGTGTGATGAATTCCGATTTCAACACAATTTCTGAGCGAAATTGCCGTGCAAGTATGCGTTAAGGGACCCATTTGTTTGGAGGATCTCGATGGTCAGACATGAAAATGAAAGTAATAACAACTAACTATGTGATCATTAATTTGATTGGTTCCTAAATGATTAGCAAATGCTTAAGAAATTATCTATTTAGAAAGAAATACATACCAAAAGAAAAAGGAGTCATAGTAGAAATAAAAGAAGATTAGACTCTCTTTTTTTTTTTTTTTTTAATTTCAGCTCTTTGATCCTATATGTCAGCCAGTGTGTTTGTTTGGACAGTGTATTATTTGAAATATTATTTGGAATAATTACTGTAACACTTTTTTGTGATATGATGTATGTGAGATAAAAAGTTGATTGGGAATATAAAAATGTAGGTTGGGAAATGTGTCTGTGATGCAAGCGAAATATTATTTGGAATAATTTTGGTATCCAAGAGGCAAAGAAACAACTGATTACCAAATAAACAAGCGAAGCGTAGGGATTAAATAAGTTATACATTTCCCGAGGCTTAACAACAAAAAGAAAATAGATTGCGGACTTGATTGGAGAAGAGCGTTGACCCCTCCTGTAAGTTCTTATCCACAGTTCACTGGATTAATAAAAAAAAAAATGTTCCTTGAAAAGGACTCAATCTGTATAATACATTCCACCTTAATTAGATTAATCCCTTCTTGTAGCTGATGATTGGGATGTAGCAACGCAATTAAGCTACTTTAATTGGAGGCACCATTTTGTTCCAAGACCTCTATTTCACTTGGATTGCTAAGTTTCTGATTTTGGTGGATAATGTCCATTGCCTCGTTTAATGAAATTTCTTTTCTTAAGTCTGTTGTATCTATTGATTGCAGATCTATACATATATGTCATTCGTCCAGATTTATTAGATGAAACGATATCTCTTCAATCAAAATGAATTCTTTACTAGCGTACCTAACTTAATTATGAATTTTGAAGTCTGAACAAATCTCAGGATACAATTTTATGCACAAGAAGGTATTTTTCTTGTAGATATTAAAGATGCACGTCACACGAGTTAATGATACCATAACACTGGTCTTAACAAATTAGATAAGACACAAATTGAATGTCTTTCTCTTTTTACCCTAAGATACAATTTGGATTGTTATCCACCCACATAGAAATTGGAGAATATGCGTGTAACATGTATCAATAATGCTTGGTTCTATTCTAAGTGTTGCGATCTTGATGAAAGTTTGTGTGTATAATTATAGAACTACGACAGACACATAACGACTTTTCCAGAATTAAGAGGTATTGGGTTCAAATTCTCATTTTTCCTTTTTATTTTTTAAATTTCATCCTTCTCATGCTAACAATATACAGACATATTTTGCAAAAAAAAGCATTAATGGTTTAACAGTAAAGGAAGAGAAAATCCTAAAAAAAATAATAAGAAGAAAATTTTCAAAATAGCTTGTAGACTTCTATAGCTTGTAGACTTCTATGCCAATAATTCTGAAAGAATAGTTAAATCATAATTGCGTTTAATATGGATACTTAAATTTGTGTCAACACCGAAGCAAACTTGATATAGAAATTTCTTTTTCTTTATTTTTTTTGAGAAAAAGATTAAATATA